GCAGAGACCTGGCTTCTAACCCTGCCTAAGCCAGTTCCTTGATTCTTTTTAATAAGAAGATAAATCTTCCAAACTCAGTAAAAGCAGCATATTGAGTTCCCCAATCCGCTAATCTCGAAGTTCCTCTAAGTATATATGCTTATATGGAAAGATGATATTTAAACCACTAAAGGCTATTTCTAATTGTATTTCTCATCTTTTTGTCTATTGTTTAAACATTTATTAAGTAGCTCCTGTGCTTAAACGTGTGTTAAGTTCTGCAGAAATAAAAACTCTTCTAGATATCGGCCTAGGCGAAGAATTTGTGAAGAAGACCCCAAAGGCAATCACAGAAACAACAAAAATTAATAAATGGGATTTGATTAAATCAAAAAGCTTCTGCACAGCCAAGAAACTATCAACAGAGCAAACAGACGACCTACAGAATGGGAGAAAATATTTGCATGCTATATATATTGTAAAGGCTAATAACCAAAATCTATAAATTACTCGAGTAAATCAGCAAGAAAAAAATCAAAACAGCTCATTAAAAACTGGGTAAAAGACATGAACAGAAGATTTTCAAAAGATGATAGACTAATGGCCAATAAACATACAAAAAAATGCTCAACATCTCTAATCATCAGGGAAATGCAAATCAAAACCACAATGAGGTATCACCTTACTCCAATGAGAATGGTTTTTATCAAAAAGTCCCAAAACGACAGATGCTGGCATGGATGTGGAGAGAAAGGAACACTAATACACTGTTGATGGGACTGCAAATTAGTACAACCTATATGCAAAACAGTATAGAGATTCCTCAAGGAACTAAAAGTAGACCTACCATTTGATTCAGCAACCCCAATACTTGGTTATCTACCCAAAGGAAAAGAAGTCTTTCTATCACAATTCACAATCACAAAGATGAGGAATCAACCCAAGGGCCCATCAATTCATGAGTGGATTAACAAAATGTGGTATATGTATACCATGGAGTACTATTCAGCCATAAAAAACGGAGAACTAATACTTCTTGTATTATCCTGGAAGGAACTGGAGATCATTCTTCTAAGTGAAGTATCATAAGTATGGAAAAACAAACACCACATGCACTCACTCTTAAATTGGAAATAACTGACCAGCACTCATTAGTACATACAGAAGTAAAACTCAAAGGAAATCAGCATGTGGGAGGCAGGGAGAAGGGATGGGTGAAATCACACCTAATGGGTACAATGTATACTACCTGGGTGATGGGCACACTTAGGGTTTGACTCAAGCTATATAAAAGCAATCCATGTAACCAAAACATTTGTACCCCCATAATATTCTGGAAAAAAAGTGTATGGTTTCTACCCTGCAGCAACGGATAAACAGAATCCTACTTCTAAGCTTTCTGAGTACTCACTACTTAAACATATTTTGCATAATTGCTGTTGAAAGAGAATGTCAAAAGTTTCCCAGATATGTGCTCACATCTGTTTAAATAAGGTTGAGTCCAGGAAAAATACTGTTTACTTTCTTTCTAGCTCTGAAAGCCCAGAATAAAGCTCCCAACCACAGTAGATGTTTAATATATACAAATATCTGTCTTAAAATACAATGGTTGCAAAATGTGGCAACAAGACAACAAAGAAAAGGGAATCAATATCTAATCTGCAAACAAGAGTATGCTAGCCAGATGTTATTAGTGTTATGAATTTACAATTGCTCATATGAGGACACATAAGCTCAACATAATGTCAGTGGGAAACACATAGAACTAAAGAACACATTGTGCAAGATGCTGTTTTGCTGAACTTTAGCAAAATACTCTCTGGACTTATGCAAATACTTGAAATTTCTAGTTAGAAATTAAAATTTGGCAGGATGACTATTCAGTAGGACTCTGGAATTCTTTCTTTGGAGATGTTTAAGGAAAATACCATGATTATTTGTATAATTTTTCAATTTCTGTAGTTGTCTCTTTTCTACATTGAAAAGATAATCAAGGAAAATATTTTACATATGATCTCTCTTTACATATGTCTCGCTCTGCACACAACCCTCATCCCACTTTTGTTTTTTTCATTCGTTTGTTTTTTCCTACTTAAAAATTGTCATTGTAGTGCTATGGCAAGTTCCTCACAGGTTATATTAACATCATTCAGGGTCACAACCGGCTCCTCCATTTTTTGTAATTTAGTTTTTCCACTACCAAATGCTTTTCCAAAAAACAATGAAATGTCTCTTCAAATGACAGGCCAGCCACAAATTAGCTAATTAAAGAAAAAGCAGGTGGACTGTGGCTACTGCCACTGACTTCAAACTTAGGGAGAAGGATAAATCAGTTTTCTTTTCTCAAGGATTGCCCTTCCAGTTTCCCTTTGGTCTTCTCTGTTCCTATCTACCACTCCATGGCTGTTAGCCGGGCCAGGAAGGCTATAAAATGAAGGAATGACCATCAAGTAGAATCAGCTAGAAAGGAATTTAGATGAGGCTGTTTGGGGACTTGATTGGACATTCTCATGCATCTCTGAACCTTCAAGGATGCACCATAGCAGTGAAAGAGGTTTTACAATCACCTGGTCTGATTCCACCTGACTGAAAGTGTGCAAGTTATCAACCCAAGACTGCATGGGAATGAAATGCCAAACTCAAATCAATTTGAAGTAACTTTGCGTACCCTCTCTTTCGCATGGGTCATTGGTCAGACCACATATAGAAAATTTCTTTTCTCTTCTTCTTGTGTATGTGTTGATAGACTACAATGATTCATAAAAGAATTAGCAAAATAACAAGGGTTCTAGAAACACAAAGAAAACTAGATAATTACTTTTAGGTGTTTGAAAACTGTCATACGCAATGGAAGTTAATTTATTAAGTATTTTCTCCAGAGATAAGATATGGATAGAAATTATGAAGAGATAGACTTTGGCTTAAATTTTAATTTATGAGTTAGAATTTTCTAATAAATGAGTTAAACTACCAAGGTGTTAAATTTTCCCTGGAATGTTCAAACAGAGATTGAACGATCCTTAA